ATTATTATTATTAATGCAGGGTTTTCTTTGGGCTCTGTTGCCAATCTTGTTTCGTTCCACTTCTGCATTGGTGACCTCTCCCACTCATCATCTAGATTTTTGTTAATGATTCCCAACTCTGTGTCCATCAGCTGGTTTCAGACTGGCTGCATTCAGAGCACAGCACTCACCCCGAATGTCCCGAGTCTTGGATCCTCTGGGCCTTTGATGGAGCAATGATAATCTGGTTGCCTTTAAGTCATTAAAGACATGGTTTCTTCATGTCACTTTCATGTGTGCAGCCAACAGGCATTTCCTTTGAATAGCTCCACTAAATGCAATCTCCTCTGATCTCCAGCTGAACACCTACATCTTATATTTTCATCGCTAAAGCAGTCTCCCACAGTCCTTGTTTTCCTGTTTTAGGACAAGTTTTTTCGTTCTCTTCAAGAGCCCTTTATGAAGCCCACGGCAGTTTAGCTATCTAGCTGCTGTATTAGAGGAAGCTCTCCAACCATTTAACTTGCACTCCTTTATTTTATGACCGTAGAAATTTACAGCACAGAAGAAGACCATCCAGTCCATCGTACCTGCACTGGCCTCTTTGAAAAGAGTAATCCAATCCTGTTTACCTACACTTTATTCCCCTGCAAATTATTCCCTCAATGGATCATAACATTGGATTTGATGTAACACTTGCATTTGATATAGTGCCTTATTACGTCTTCGAGACATCTCAAAGTGCTTCACAGAAAATATTGTATATTTTGTGGGCGAAATGAGGCAGCCAATTGCACACAGCAGTGTCCCACAAACAGTCGGGGATTGAGTGACCAAATTATTACTTTTTTTATATTATTTTTTGAAGGGATTATTACCCCCAGAAAGCAATCTGCCAATTGACTAATAACTGTGTTCCTACTTATTGCCAGGTAAACAGAGGAGGGAAACTTACCTAAGGTTTCGCCCTGCCCAGGAATCAAACCCAGATCATCTCGCTTGTGAGGCGAGTGCTCTAACCAATACGCTACAGGACATTGAAAAGGGTAGTGACTGTGTGTGCCTTGTGGGTGTACATGGCAGTCAATTGGCACACAGTAATGTCCCATAGACAGCCATGAAGTGAAAGATCAATTTTATTTGAGGGATTGTTGGCCAGGACACTGGGAGAGAGAAACTCCCTTCTCTTTTCAAATAGTGCCACAGGGGAGTTTACCTTCCACCTGGACAGGCAGACATAACCTCGGTTTAACATCTCATCCAAAGGCAGCACTTCTAACAATACAGCGCACCCACCCAGCACTACATTGGAGCATTAGCCTCGACTCTGAGTTCAGGGGGGAGTGCTACCAACTGAGCCAGACTGACACTCCTGCCCAAAACAGATTAATATTGTGCATAGAGTTTCCGTTTCTTTCAAACTGCTGAATTTTGCAGGTCTTTGGGGGATAAAATGATTTAATTTAAACACACTCTGTGTTGCAGTAACAAATAATTTATTTACGTGCAATCCTGAATGCAGCATGTAACTTGGGCTTGAGGCGAGGGAAAAGGAACCACTTCCCACAAACAACTTTTATTCAGCATCTTTTCAATTCTCTGGGGAAAAAAAGGATAATTCACTTGCATTTGATATAACAGGATTCGCCCGCAAAATTATACAGTCAATCCGCTTACAGCATATTCTGTGAAGCGCTTTAAGACATCTAGAAGACGTGATAAGGCGCTATATCAAATGCAAGGATTATTATTCCTTATCACACAGATATCTCAAAGCACTTCACAGGAATTACTGTAAAGTGCAGTGACTGTGCATTTTGTAAGCGAACGCAGCTGCCAATGTACAGTCACTCCACTTACAGTTAACCCCGTGAAGCACTTTTTGAGACGTCCTCCCTTCAGTTGAAACGTTAAACCGAGGTCCCGTCTGCCTGTTAAAGATCTCAAGGCACTATTCGAAAAGAGGAGGGAGTTTCCCCCAGTGTCCTAACCAACCAAAATAAAATTAGTCATTCACTCCAAAGCTGTTTGTGAGCCATTGCTGTGACAAATTGGCTACCCTGTGTACCCACAAAATACACAGTCACTGCACTTTACAGTGTATTCTGTGAAGAGGGGGACAAAATGATGGTATAGAATCATCTGGTCACTGATGGAGAACTCTGTTAAGAGAGGCACAAACTAACCTCCAGACTGCGACTGAGCAGAAGAAAAAAACCAACAGGTACAGAGAAGAAAAGAGACCAAATAAACTCAGGGGACAGAGGGACAGATGGTAGGCCAGAGGAAGAGATGACAAGGACTGAGTCGGGCAGGAGAAATTCATGAGGAGGTGACAAAGAATGTGAGGAACATGGACAGAGAGAGAGAGAGTGAGAGAGAGCACAGCAGTGAAAGGGAGATAGACAAAAAGAGATATCATAAAGAGAAAACGAGATGGGATGATGGCAAGCGAAATAGAGAGAACAAAACAACAACTTGCATTTATATAATGCCTGTCAAGTGGGTCTTGAAGTTATTAACAAGAGACAGAGAGAAAGACAGAAACAAAGAGACAATCAGAGAGAGAGAGAGAGAGGGGAAAGACGCAGAGGTATGTAGGTAGTTAGAGTCAGAGGAAGAAATAAATATACTGAAGACAGAGCGATAGACGTGGAGATGAGAAAATGGGGAATTTATCCTGAAAAAATGGGTCATTCACTTCATGGCTGTTTATGGGACGTTTTTGTGCACAAATTTGCTGTCGTGTTTGCCCTCAAAATACACAGTCACTGCACCTCACAATAAATTCCTGTGAAGCGCTTTGAGATGTCTCAACAATGTTCATACCTATCAAACCTCCATCTTTCAGATACGTGTCTACTTCTGCCTTGAAAGTCACACTGGACTCTGTTTCTACCACCTTACTTGGCAGGGTATCCCACTGCCTGAGCAAAAACAAATTCTTCTAAGCTTTCCTTTCTTCTTGTGACTATCTTATATCAATGTCCTCTAGTCACTGACTCCGCTACAACAACAACAACAACAAGATTCCATTTATAGAGCGCCTTTCACGTCGGGAGGACGTCCCAAGGCGCTGTACAGTTGGGTCAGGACCCGAGCAGGGGGGAAATAGTCAGGGTGAGGGGAGGGAAGGGAGGGAGTGAGGAGGGGGTAGAGAGTCGAGAGGGGAGCTGAAGGCACGGTCAAAGAGAAAGGTTTTGAGACCGGCCTTGAAGGAGGAAAGGGAGGAAGCAAGGCGAAGGCACTGGGGGATGGAGTTCCAGAGCCTCGGGGCTGAGAGGCTGAAGGCCCGGCCACCGATGGTAGGGCGGTTGGGGCGGGGGATGTGGAGCAGACTGGAGCCAGAGGAACGGAGGGTACGGGCAGGTAGGTAGGGGGATAGTAGGTCAGAGAGGTAGGAGGGAGCAAGGCCTACCAGTGCAGAGGAATAAAGTCTGGCAATACAGTCCAAGAATAGTTTAGTTACTACTGGTTACAACTGGTTCCCCCATATTCACCTGCAAATACACAGTCACTACATGCCACAGACGATCCAGTGTAGCACTTTGAGACATCCCTACGACATGATAAGTGCTCTGGGACCCTACCCCGCATGAAGGGTGCTATATAAATGCACATTGCTGTTGTTGCTGATGATAAAGAGCTGTATTGAGCGCAAGGATTATTATTCCAAGGCACTGGCCCAAATGATTGTGAATTTTAAGACAAAATAAAGGTCCAGGTTGGAATTCCTGACCGTTCCCGAGCCCCAACCCAGAGCCACAGTGTTTGTTTACGTTCAGGTCAAGCATATCTCCAGTCAGACAGCAGCCCCAGGGTCCCAGTCTCGCCCGCATTGCCCGCTGTCCAAACCCAGTGTAAACAAATCCAGCAAAGCCTCAAATCAGCACATAATTGACCGGATCCCAGTCATTAAAAGGGAACCTGGAGCCAGCGTTCTGTCTAAGCATTCTTCTGGTTTTGGGAAGTGTTTGGAATTCGATACAGAAAATTGCAGGAGTCAGAAACCTGAGACTGTGGCAGTGGCTTCAGTGGAGCTGTTGGACTTCAGGACATGCAACACAACGCTGTTGGGAATTGGATCCAAGCAGATCTTTCTGCGTCAAAGTTGGTTGGTATGTAAGCATGGCTCAGTAGCAAATCCTCCTCCCTCCTGTCCCCCCAACCCCCTCCCCGCCCACCCACGCCACACACAGGCCAGGACGGTTCAGGGTGTCAACCCTGGATTGCCCCAATTAGCTCCATCCTGACTGAGGCAAAATTCCTTATGTTCTTAGGTTTGAGATCACGGGCTCAATAAACCTTTTGATTAGTGCCGAATCGGTGCGGAGGTTTGGGAAACGGCGTTAAGATTTGGAAGCTGATTTGTCAGTTTCCTTTTCCGCTGCTGCCGAAAAACCGTCCGGCAAAACTATAGACTGGGTTTGAGCTCATTTCCCCAAAATCTGTTTGAGGACGACAGTATCTGTCCAGGCTCTTGGAGCTGAGGAATTTCAGGTCCCAGCTGACATAGTTGTTGGACTTCAGGATACACAACACAATGTTGTTATCCTAGTCGTGAAGAGATACCCACTTTCCCCACAATACCAAGCCCCCACCCCCAACCACACACACAAACTCCCGTCTCAGTGTATAATGGTTGTGCTAAGGTATTTATTCTCAGTTCTTTCACTGCCCCAATAATGGAGATTCCTGTTTCGTTTTTGTTGGGACACAGCTACAAATCTTTCAAATGAAATGAAACGTCGCACTGTTTACCATCCACCTCCTCACCCCGCACACACACACACACATACACACACACACACAACTCCCTTCACCCTCTCCAACCCAACACATATATACACACACACATACACACTGTGATGGGTCCTGAAATGACACTGAACAATCACCGAAAAATCCCCACCCAGCAAAAGAGCTTGCGCCTGAGTGAGCGACCGCAATATCGAGCAACACCTTTCGCCGCGTTAAACTGGGAGCGTAACGTGCAGCGCGGTTGCCGAGCAGCAAATTACCTCGTCCAGCTGAGAGGGGCTGACTTTGGGCATGGGCGAGACCTGGGGTGTTTTCAGGTGATTGTTGGTGTCGGGGGGCAGCTCCGTGTGTACCGTCTGCGCGTGGTTCTGGAGCTCGCTCTCCGACTCGAACTTGACGTTGCAGGTCGAGCACCTAATTTTGCCTCCCTCTTGCCTCTTGCCTCTCGCTTCGGCCGGGCTGGGGTTCAGGACCTGCCTGCTGCTGCCATTCAGGCTGGCAACGTTGACGTTGGGGATGGCGTTGGCGACGGGATTGGCGTTGTGCTTGCCGCCGTTCACACAACCGGCACACAGCCCATAGGGCAGCCCGTTGATGTCCAGCTTGACCAGGTCCTGCTTGGAACGGAACTCCTTGAGGCAGGAGGCGCACTTGTACAGCTTCTGTGCCGGGTGTTGGTTGCGGATGCTGACGTTGACGTTGGCGTTGGAGGCGACGTTGGGCTGGGGGCCGGCGGCTCCGTTGCCCGTCTTCTGCATGTGGAAGGTGCCGTGGATCTTGAGCTCCAGCGTGGAGGTGACAGTCTGCATGCACACCACGCAGCGGAAGCCGGTCAAGGAGTTTCGCAGGTCCGGGTGCATCTGGCAATGCTCCAGGAACTCCTCCTCGCTCTGCAGGGGCAGTTTGCAGATACGGCAGGTGCCGGTGTCCAGGCTCTTGCTGTGGGTGACCTTGTGCTCGGTCAGCGTGAGCAGCGAGGGGAAGCGCTCGCCGCAGATGGGGCACATGTAGTGCTTGACCGGCCCCAGGTGGGTCTGCATGTGCTCGCGCAGCCCGCTCTCCGAGAAGAAGGTGCGCGAGCACACGTTGCACTTGCAGTTGCCCTTGATCAGCTCGGCCTTCCTCCGACGGCTGTTGCTTTCTCCCGGCTGCAGGTTGTGGTCCCTCAGCTGGTGGTTCTGCAGGAGAGACTCCATGGTGTAGGCCGCCCCGCAGATATCGCAGGCGTACATGGTCTCCGTGCCGGTGTCGACCTCCTCCTCACTGCCATCGTGGCTGTTGTGCAGGTGGTTGTGGCTGTTGCCCAGGATGCCGTGGAGCTCGGACGCCCCGGAAGCCGTGGCCGTCACCGTTACCGCCGCGGCAGCCGTCGCCTCCTCCTTCTGCTCGCCTGCCCCGTTGGAGCCGCAGTTGGCGGCCGAGGCCGCCGCCGTCGCCGCCCCTTTCGCCTCGAAGACACAGTGCTTCTCCCGCAGGTGCTTCTCCAGCAGCCCGACGGCGTGGAAGGCCTTACTGCAGAACTTGCAGTTGTACTTCTTGCTGTGGGTGGTGATGTGACACTGGAGCTCCACCTCGGTGCCAAACACCTCCCCGCAGAAGATGCACTTGTGAGCCTTGCCCCGTCGCTCCAGGTGACTGCGCTGCACGTGCAGCTGCAGCTCGGCCTCGCTGCGGAAGTCCCAGTTGCAGGAGGTGCAGCGGAAGGCCTTGCGCTCGTGGCTGTGCTTGACCGCCAGGTGCAGCTGGATGGACACCTTGGAGTCGAACACCTCCTGGCACAGCGTGCAGCGGAAGAACACGAAGGTGTGCATGTCCAGGAGGTGCTTCTGCAGGTCGTCCACCGAGGTGAACTGCTTGTCGCAGCTCTCGCAGATGTAGTAGGTCGAGGTGATCATGAAGTGGACCGTCACGTGCTTGAGCAGGGAGTCCTGCGACGGGAACTCCTTGCTGCACTGCGGGCAGGAGGCTTGTCCCAGCAGCAAAGTGTCCAGGTGGCTCCGCAGATGTGCCTGGAGGACCTCGAAGGAGGAGAACCTGGAGGTGCACTGGTTGCAGCGGTGCTCACCCGACACCTGGGAGGAGGAGCCTCCTCCCCCGCCATGCGTCAGCTTGAGGGAGCCATGCTCCGTGCTGCCCGGCGAGAGGGGGCTGGCGTCGCCGCTCGATCGCTTGCCGTTGCCCCCGTAGCCCAGCGCCAGCGGGATGTTCTTGTGGTTCTCCTTCACGTGCTTGTTGAGCTTCAGCATGGTACTGAAGATGGGCGAGTTGGTGCAGTAGGAGCAGGAGTAGACCTCCAGCACGGGCTCGCGGGGGGTTGGAGCTCCGAGCAGCGGCGAGTCGTAGCGCACGCCATGCCCCTCGCAGTGAACCTGCTGCACGTGCTCCTCCAGCGAGGCCTCGGTCAGGAAACCCATCAGGCAGTGCGGGCAGAAGAAGGCGTTGCTGTCCTTTGTGGCCACTCCCCCTCCGAAGCTGTGCGAGCAACGGATGTGCTCCTGGAGGCTGTTGAGGTCACCCAGCGCCTCGGAGCAGAAGTTGCACTGGAAGCCCAGGCCTGGCAAGGCCAGGGGCAGTGCCAGGGGCAGTGCCAGCGAGACCGGTGGGGAGTGCAGGCTCTCGTGGAGCTGCCTCAGGTGCTCGTTCAGGTTGTAGAGCGAGGGCAGGACCTGCAGGCAGAACTGGCAGGTGTGCGCTTGCTCTGGCTTGTCCAGGTGCATGGTCTTCAGGTGGATCTGCAGCACAGCCAGGCTGGTGAACACCTGCTTGTTGCAGTACACGCAGCTGTAGGTGACTTTGGGCAGCTTGGAGGCGGGGGGCTCGGGCGGGGGCTGGCCTGCCCGCCTCTTGCCCCGGGGCTTGAGCTGGTGTGAGGCCGCCTCAGGCGCGGCATTGGTGGAGCTGTCCACTGAGAGGTTGGAGTCAGGGGTGGTGCTGGACACGGAGGTGTAGCCTACGGTCACCATGGAGGGGCTGTTGCTGTGGTTGCTGGGCTCCGGGTGCTGGTGGCTGAGATCCATGTGGTTGTAAAGATCCTCCGCTGACAGGAAGCGCTTGGAGCACAGGCTGCAGCGGTTCGGCCTCTCCTGGCCGTGGGCCTGGTCCAGGTGACCCAGGAGCGCGGTCTCGTCGGGGAACAGGTCGGAGCAGTAGAGGCACTGGGGGGCCGCCCTGTCCTCGCTGGGGGAGCACTCGGGGTGACACTCGGCGATGTGCCTCTGGAGCTCCTCGGGCAGGTCGAAGCCCTCCTCGCACTGGCTGCACTTGCGGGCCTCGTCGCCGGATGGCTTCCAGCTGCCGTCCGCCCCCCGACCGCCCTCCTTGCCCTTCTCGTGGACCTGCATGTGGCCGTGGAGCGAGCTGGAGGACAGGAAGCCGCGCCGACACACGGCGCACTTGTAGGGCTTGCTGGAGGCGTGGGTCTTGAGGTGGATCTTGAGGTGGTCGCTGCGGGAGAAGGCGGCGTCACACTCGCTACAGTGGTACTTCTTGTCGCCCGTGTGCAGTTTGACGTGCCGGTCGCGGCTGCGCTTGTGCTTGAACAGGCGGCTGCAGAAGGTGCAGCGGAAAGGCAGCTTGTCCCCGTGGCTCTGCTCGTGGTGCTTCAGGTAGCTCAGCCGGCTGAAGGACTTGTCGCAGAACTGGCAGGGGTAAGGCAGGCCCACGGAGCCTTCCTCCTCACAGCCCTCCCCGGGGCTGGGTGAGGCCTGGTCCTTGCTGGAGGGGGAGGAGGCCGGCCACGAACACGAAGGGTCATCATCTCCGTCAGCCCCATCTGCAGAGACGCATAAAACAACACGGGAGATCAGCTTCAGGACTCGGCAGCCGGCAATGGGTTAATGCAAAACACAGCACAATAATAATAATAAACAATAGATGAATAGTAATTGATTGTAATAGTGGTTATCGATGCATAATGACGATGGTAATAATTAATAATGATGGTAATCGTGAACAATTATTAATACTAATGGGTTTTAGCTGGTAAGGCTCCAGCAGTTGCCCCACACTCCACACTCTGGAGTCCCCAAGCCTTGGCCCTATGCCAACCCACACCTAATACTCTCCGGAATTCGGGTGAACAGGGTGCAGGGGAGAGAGTGCGCCTTCCATTCCGAACACGTGAATTTCCAGGCGTGGGTGGGACGCGGGGAATTCTCAGCTCGGTTTGGACCCTCTTAAACACGGTGATGGGCTTCTGACACAAACAACAGGGCTCCCATGCGGGTGTGCGAGGTGTTTTGACACATCTCCCTGCAGTGAAAGGCACTTTAGAAATGCGAATTGTAATTACACTTTCTCCCCTTCGTGCTTCTCTGTTCCCTCTGCTTTGAAGTCTGCTTAGTTTTTGCACTCCGAAATGCCCAGTTTCCAATGAACCCTCTAAAGCTTTGCACCCCCACTCCACCACCACTCCACTTAAAATAAAATAGATGACAACGACGACAAATTGCCTTTATATAGCGCCTTTCACGTCGGGAGGAGGTCCCAACCAAGGCCTTGAATCTCACGGAGTCTCTAAGCCCGAGGCATAAGTTGGAACGCATATGCTGTTCTTTCCCACAAGTGGAACTGAACAAGCGTGCGTTAAAAACGGCACAAAATATTTCACTCAAATATAAACCAGCTGATCTTCCATTGTGAGCAACACTGGAGCGATCGTCATAACAACTGGTGTGAAAGTCACAACGTGTCAAGAGATCTCCTAAAATTGGGTGTTTTGCTCCATGGCTGTTTGTGGGGCATTCCCGCGTGCAAATTGGCTGCTGTGTCCTTTTACAAGTGATACACAGTCACTACACTTTACTGTAAAAATCGCTTGAAGCAATTTCAGATGTTTCGATGACTCGATAAAGCGCTATATAGTAAATGCAATTATTATTATTATAATTAAGTACTGTGGGGGGGCGGGAAGGGGGCCCGTCTGCCTGGCCAGCTCGACGCTAAAGACTTCCGCGGCCGGCCCTACTCAAAAAGAGGCACTGCCTCAGATGCAAGGATTATTATTATTAGTAGTTATTAATAAGAAACTATTTTTGGATGGGCCGGGTGTCTGACACATGCGGAAACCCATCACCCTGCTTAAGAGTATGCAAACCAAGCTGCGAGTTCCACGCATCTGACCTACACACGGAAATCCCAGAGATAGATTGCTGGAACGGAATGCGCACTCTCTTCCTGGAGGGAGGCATCCTGCTTACCGAATTCCAGAGAGTATTAGGCGCCTGTTGGCAAGAACCAAGGCTTGGGGACCCCAGAGTGTGCACTGGGGTAACTGCTGGCGTCGAATAATAAACTGGACAACCGAATGGTTCACATACAAATGGAGATTTCCACTAGACACTCTACCCCACCCGCCATTGCTGCCCCATCCCCTTCCCCACACACTTTAAGCTCATTCCTCTCCCTCTACCCATGCATCACAGGTCAATACAGAATACCTACAGGCACTTGACAGCTTCCTGCCTTGCTGTGCAGTTACTGAGCCTATTAACAACATCAGCTTCACAATTGCCAGGTAATGGCGCGTGCTGAATCTGTCACTTATTCCAGCTCGCAGGAGTTTCGTTGACTGATGATGGCCACTAACCATCACCTCACTTGTGCTACAAATATAATAACAATGCTTGCGTCTGAAACAGTGCCTGATCACATCGTCGAGACATCTCAAAGCGCTTTGCGGGATTTCAAACTGGACTGCAGAATGATTCACATACGTTTCGCCCACAAAATATACAGTCAATTCACTTCACAGTATATTCTGTGAAACGCTTTGGGACGTCTCGAAGATGTGATAAGACGCTGTATCAAATGCAAGGCTTATTAAAGGGAGATTTCCTTCGCTGGAAAGATCTCAATGTAAATATAATGGAGAAATGACAAGAGGAATCTTTCAACTAAGTTACCTATTAGGTTAGTTAACTGTTAGGTCAAGGTATCAAGGGATATGAAACAATGCCTTGTAAATGGAATTGAGGTCCAGATCAGCCATGATCCAATAGAATTGCGGAACAGGCTCGTGGGGTTGAATGGCGTACTCCTGTTCCTATGTTCCAATGATTCTGGAAAGGGCTTAGACTTTTCTTGGTAGTTAAGTCAAATAATAATCCTTAAGTATGATACACCATCTTTAACATCCAGCCAACCCACAGTTTATTTATGCACAGGAATTTCCCACAAACAGCCTTGAACTGAATGACCAATTTTATCTGGGGGATAGTTGGCCAGGATACCGGGAGAAACTCCCTTCTCTTTTCGACTAGTGCCATGGGATCTTTAATATCCATCTGAACAGGCAGATGGGACCTCGGTTTAATGTCTTGTCAATTGGCACCTCTGACAATGCAGAGTGCACCCCCCACCCCACCACTCCCACCCCCGCAATGCACTGGAACATCAACCTATAAAAGAAAAATGCTTCTTGTTTTTATGATACAATGGGTAACGATAGAGAGAGTGTGTGTGTGTGAGAGAGAGAGAGAGAGAGAAACAGGGAGACAGAGAGAGAGAGAAAGAAAAAAAGAGAAAAAGTCCCATCCTTGACTGCTGGTTAGTACATTACTTTCTTTATTCTGCTCCTCGTCCCATGAAAATACATCTTGACTGGACTGATACTAGTGCTGGAACACAACTGCCCTTGAAGCTCCAAGCCAGGAAAAAAAGGTTCCATGTCTGGGGAGGGAGGAGCGAAGTATGAAGAGAAGTCTAGCTTACAATTACCACACGCCAGCTGGGATCTAGGCTACTGTTACGTCGCTACAACAGGCTAGAATGTGAACTATGCGTTGTGTGCGGGTTCAAGAGGTTGCCCACCATTGCTTCCTCCTCCCACTCGCAGCTTTTATGAACCAAACTTCCTCGCTCAAAACAAACCAGCTCTTTTGGCAGGGATGTTGGTGAGGCAACAAGGCAACAGTGTGAGACGCGGGGAAAAAAAATTGGAAACAGGAAGACACGATAACCGAGAAATGGTGATAAGATTTATTAGTGTGTGCACAGAGAGAGAGAAAGAGAGAGAGAGAGAGAGAGAGAGGGCGGTCGGAGGCAGGGGCAGGGGCAGGGGGAGGTGGGGAGGAAAGAAGAAAAAAATCCACAGGGGCTGATTGTGGATGCTCTGATGCTGGCTTGCCCCAGCCATGTGTCAGCACAGTAAAAGTCTCTGCCGGCTCGGCTGTGAGAAATCGAGCGACTGCATGGGTTTGAGACAGTCTCCTGGCTACACACTGCTGACATCTGGAACAAATTCCTCTCCTCTCCCATCACACAAGCCTCTCCTCTGTATTGTACTAAAACTCCTCCTAACGCCAAGTCAAGTCATACCACACACACACTCACACAGACACACTCACACAGACACGCACACACGCTCATTCACACCCGTGCGCAAACACACACGTTCGGACAGAGATACACACAGACACACACACGCACACACAAACAGACTCAAACACACATACGCACTCACACACATCACACACAGACACACACAGATACACACTCATACACAGGCACGCTCACACTCTATTTTCCCTTAGCCTGTAGTTCCCGACATCCTCAGTCCCCATGATCAATCTTCTGCTGCCCTGTCTGGTCGCAGCTTATCCACAGGAAACAGAGGAGGTTTCAGCTCTTCCCTGGGTTTGCAAAGTGATGACAACACAGTCGTCTGTGCAAACAGATGGCAGAAAAAGCAACAAAACGAAAGACCGACAAGTGTCATTCCTGTGTGGCCCAGGTGGCCTATCAGGCCCTTAGTGCTGACATAGGAGACATTACGATGTTAGTGCATAAGTGCAGCTGTTTGTAGACTCGAATCCGTTGCTAATGGTATCCAGTAATTCCACGCCAACACATTAAAGTAAGTGTGTGAACACTACTAGATGAAAGTAACAAACACTCTGGAGAAATCAGTGGAAAGCAGAACTGGCTGACTTTCTTCCAAGTAGACAGGAATGCCCAGGCCTTAGCAGCCTGTGTAAATAAAAGAGGTCCTTATTTCCTAATTCTGCTGGCTAGCCTCGCTGCGTCCGTCTCTGAGTTGCTGCCAAAGGGGATGCAAAGCTGCAAACTACACCCAGCAGCTGAAGGGCTGTCTTTGTCTGCCCGTCAGGCCTTCCTGACCATCCTTCTGGCAACGGACCTGAATATCCTGTGAGGAAAAGGTTCATCTCACGCCTGACAGTCTCTCAGCCAGCTTCCTCCAAGAAAACAACACGATCCGTGGGTTGTTGAGGGTTGGGATGTGGACACGAGCGAATCTCTTTCTGTCTTTGTCTCTCTCTGATCATCTGCTCACACTCTCCATCACAGAGATACCAGAGACGTTAAATACCGGTGGCAAAAAACTCCCAACCCCATGAGATCGAGAGTCGTGTCTCAGCCTCCTCTCTGAATAATAATAATCTTCCAATTTGACGCAGTGCCTTCATCACATCCTTGAGACGTCTCAAAGAACTTTTACCATGAATGTGTATTTTCTAGGCTGACATGGCAGCCCAATTTTTCTCAAAGTGACATCCCGCAAAAACAGCCATGAAGCCGAACGACCAATTTTATTTGGGGGACTGCAGGCCAGGAGCCTCTCTCGACCAGCACTGTACTGGTCAACATTCTCAGCAAACCCATATTGATAAAGAATAACAAAGGAACTGGTCGCCTCATAATAATAACAATAATAACCCTTGCATTTGACATAGCACCTTATCCAGGTCTCCGAGATGTCTTGAAGCTCTTCACAGAATATACTGTAAATTTTGTGGTCGAAACTCAGCAGCC